TTTAAGCGACATCAAGCTGTTTACCACTTGAGCCAACCACTATTAATTTTTCTTTCCTTTCACCTATAGATTTTCCCGCTATAATATGAAGGTTACAAAAAGTGGTTATATATCCCAAAGCTATCTTAATTACCATACTTATTTTTAAAAAGAAAAAGAAACAAAAAAGAAAGAAGCAGAAGAATTAAGGAAGACGGACGGCCAAACAAATAGTAACAAAGACTAGGAATATTTGGGGTGCAAGTAGTACATAATCATTCCAGGATGAAATTATTGCTCAAAAAATGTTCTACATATATAGTGGGGGTGATTTTGAGTGGGCATGAACTAATGAAGTAAATTAGGGAAAAATGATATCCACTATACTATGACTGTCATAACTTTCTTGCTAGTGGGTTTAAACTTTAAACTTTAATTTAAACTTCCCACGACGAATGATAGACGTGCTGGGTGCTTTATTTATTTAAAAAAATTAAAAATAAAAATTAAGTGGACAAAAAATAAGAAAATAGGGATGAACCAAAATCAAAAGGACGTATCCTCGGAATACGTTTTTCTAAAAAAAAAATTGATTAGAAAAACGTATTCCGATAATACGTTTTATAATTATTTTAGGAAATTTTAAAAAAAATCCTTTATAATTTGAATATTAAAAAATAATAATTGTAAAACGTATTATGTAAATACGTTTTTTAAAACCTTAAAATAGATTTTTAGGGTTTTATAAAATGTATTTTCTAGTATTTAATTAAAAAATAAAAGATAATCCATTACACCGTATTTTCAAAATACGTTTTTTGTAAAACGTATTTTAGAAATACGTTTTAATTGAAAAAATAGGAGAAAACGTGAATACGATTTCATTAAAAATGCGTTTGAATAAGAAAATATATTTAATTATACCATATTCTCAAGATCTCCAAATCCGAGAGCATATTTTAATTAAATAGTTGTAAAATATATTCTGGAAACACGTTTTACAATTAAATATAAAAAATATCTTTGTAACGCCCCGTTTATTGAAAATTATTTAGAGTTATTTATTATTACTTTTATTTATTTTATTATTATTGATTGTCTAAATATTATTAATTGCTTAAATGCCTAATTGCTATTTTTGTTATATTATTATTATTATTATTATTATTATTATTATTATTTGATTAATTGCTATTGACTGCCTAGTTGTTAATCATTGTCTGTTATTAATATATATTATTGTGTGTATTATGTACATATATATATATATATATATATAAGTTTGTCCGTTAATTATTTTAAGTTCTTTTCGTTCGAACCGAGAGCCCGAGCCTAGTATATTATTGTAAGTATGGAACCGAGAGGAGAACCCGGCTCTTGAACCCGCTCGACCCGCGCCCGAGACGACTAGAACCGGCCCCTTGTTTTCTTGGTTGGCAAGAAAAATTAAACCTAGGTTACTTACTTACGTGAGATCTTATTCCCTCTGCTGCTATTGGCACCCCACAGCTTTTCTCTCAAAACTCTCATATCTCTCGCGTCGCATAACAGAAAGAAATTGGAAGAGAAAAACCTTGTAGGCTCCCTCATACCTCTCGCACTCTGTTTTTCCGTCGGCCTGTCATCGTGAAGGCCCCAACGGCGAGCATCAACCCTCAATCGGTGTCCTTCTCTACAACGCCGATTTATCGCGTGAATTTGAGCAGCTCGATACTAGCAGCTCGTCGTTAGGAGTTACCGCGGACTGAAGACGGAAACCACTCTAAGCACTGCTCACAGCTTTCTGTCCACACCCGCTGTCGGCGACACCTTGTTCGGCCCCTCGTTTCAGCAACCAAGGAGTTCCCGAGGGAGAACCTTCTCTTCGCGATCTGGAATAGGGCTGCAATTAATGGTCTGTTTGGGTTCGAACCATCACTAAGGACATCACGGGACCTGCAAACAACAAGCCCGCAGCCACCGAAAATTTAGTCCGGCGGCGTCCCCGTTCTTCTCGGCGTGCTCTCTGTTCGCGTGAAACCAGCACCTCCGTGATCAGCTCTCCAGCGTGAACCAGCGGCCCCAACCTCCCGCTGTTGTCCCGCGTGCCAAACCGAGCAGACCTGACCGTGCGCCTTCATCGACGAATCCGCAGGCCCTAATTGATCGCAGCGACGAAACAACATGTAACGCCCCACTTTTATTTGCCAAAATTCGCAAATAATCTTTCAAAATTTATTTTCAAAAACCCTTGAGGCGCTACTCATTTTCAAAACAATAATCAAATTCAACAATCATCCATATTCAATCCTCAATATTCATTCATCAATAATCAATAATCAATAATCCAAATAACCCAGTTCAATAATCAATACTCGTAAAATCCTAGGGAAAACATTCCCTAACAGTAATCCAATAGTAGGACGAAACAATAATAACAATAATCCAGTTTCAAACAGAAGCAATAACAATTTATTATGACCACGCTCGTTCTCCTCAGCCGTGCCCGCAACACTAACCTGCATCCGTGAAGAGCAGGTGGGGATGAGCACAAAAGGAAACAATAGTGCTCACCACTATGCAATAAACGTTATTCACAATAAGGGAACAGTAATCAATAATAAATAAGGTATGGTCTCAGCATGTATACGAAACAATAAACTATCCCATTCTCCCATCAATAATCACAATAATCAGACTCATGTGCACACCTACGCATAGACTACTGCTGATACTCGATTCGAACGCCAAGACCTACGAATTGGTCTTACAACGATGCCCAGCAGTAGAAGTAAACCACCCCGGCGGCCAAAACCTACGAATTGGTCTTACAATCAGGGATAACCGGCCAGAACCTATGCCCTGGTCTTACGACTCTCAAGGGAGACTACCCAACTGGTACGTTCTATAGCTACGGGGATAACCGTTCGGTGGCCGATACAGCTCACACCGAAGGCTACATGATTCACATGCATACTTTGATCATACCACAATTAAAACAATAATAACATTTAAAGCATAGTAATTTTTATAATTACAACCCACCTGGAAAATTTGGTAGAAAATTGCACACAAAAGCAAGTACGTAGGATGAGGCTCGACTCCTCAAACACCTACATTTAAGCGAGATAATTTGTCAATAATTTATCTCAGTACTCGAATTTAACATAAAACCCATACTTAATAAAAATTAAGATTTACGGGTTTTAATCGGATTTTTCGTGGACTTGGAACTCTCTCATTTGCAAAATAGGACACGAAAAATTAATTTGGAGTCTCGGGACTTAATATAATTTTTCTTAAATTTTTCTACTTTGAAAATAATTTTAAAAATCGAAATCGGTATTAAAAACGAGCTTCCGGAACTCAAAATAGGCTTAAAAAGACAACATGACCGAGCTGCCAGGGTTCTAGGCTAATTGGGCCGCATATAGGGGAGTTGGGCCGAAAATTTTGGTCCTGAAAAGGGCTGGAAAACGCGGGCCTCACTGGGCTGCTCGCGGGCTGGAGGAGAGATGGGACCGGGCTGCGCGGGCTGAAATGCGGGCCAAGAAGCCCGCGCTGGGAGCTGGGTTTAAAATAAAAAGAAAAAGCTATTTTCGCAATGGCTGGGTTCGAACCCTCTACTTCAACCACAGAACTTATCGTGCATGCCACTGCACCACACTACTTGTTGCTGTTCTAAATGGAAAACGTCAGTATTGATATAGAACTGTCTGGTTCTTAAGGCTACAGAACAGAGACTGAACAGAAAATTATCTTTCGACTATAGGTTCTCAATTTCAAATTCGAGCACGCACGGGGTTCGAAATTTAAAACATTACTGAAATGAACATATTTTCAGAGTTTTGCCGTTTGATAAAATCGAGATTAAAAGGTTTGATAACAAAACGACAATATACAGTTTTACAAACTAACGAACGGTATTCCGAAGACATAGCTCGAAATAGCAAAACAAGACTCCGAAATAACATGATTCGACCACAGTAGCAACAACACAGAGACTCAAATATACGAACGAGAGTTCCAATGATTCCACGAATAATTCGCGAACATAACGAAATAATAACCGAATTCGAAAATCAAAGAAACGAATCAACACGAACGAAAGTAAATGAACGATATAATTCTCGACAGCATTTAACGAGAGGGTTTTGAAAGGTTACCCTTCTTCGGGAACCTACGAGCTATCGGAAAATGAATCGAACGAATGGGGCCGAACGAAACTCTGACTGCTCGAACTTGGTGCTGCTTGCGAACGGTCCAACCACGTACAGAGGCTCTTCACGACGGAAGATGACCGAGACTAGATTAGAAACGGCGACGAACGGAGCTGACCGGAGGTAAAAGCTCTCGTCAGAAATAATGGCGGATGCTCCGATGATTGAACACGCACAGGTTGGGCCTCTGGCGGCTACTGAACAACAGCGGTGCTTCCCGCAGTTGGGGTGTGTGCGGCTGCTTTCGGCGGCTGCTCTCGGAGGAGGTCGCCGGACGAAGATGGTCTCGTCGAAATCTACAGGTACACGTTTGCTTTTTTTTTTTTATACTGAAGCAGGCTGCGGTTTTTGGGAACAAGAAGGAAGTTTTTAATGATTTTGAGAATTCTTCTGCCGAGATATAAGAGCACATGGGCAATCGAACGTGGCTGAAAGATCGCAACCGATTTTTGAAAAGAAGGAACAAGTCGTCGAAGATGAAGACTCTCTCACAATTTCTCACGTGCATCAATATAATGATTGGGCCAAAATAA